GATTGAAAAATTATCAAATAAAGAAGTACGCAATATCGTTTTGTTTTACGAACGATAGAAATCGCTAAGCAAGCAATTTCCAGATTAAATTCTTTCAATCCGGGTCGTGGCAATATAAAAACTGTTGAATACCCTACCATTGGTTCCTAATTATATAATAATAAGGAAAAAATGTTCATATAACAAGTTTGAGACGGTATTTACTTTATAATTGCACGTAAAACGTGTAAAGGATTTGATTGAAATTGGCATATATGGGACATATTTTGGATTTACATATTATGTCTTATTCATAACAAGCACAAACAGATCTGTTCCACGGGAGTCGTTCATTTTTCCGGGGTAAAAAGTAACCTGTTATTTGACCGGCAATATAAGGTATCAGCATGCCAAATTTTACTAAATTAGGTGCATAAGTTGTTGTGTACTAAGCTATACAAGTTACTATAGTTTTTTAACTATCCCACGGGAGTTCTAAAATGTTGTTCGGGGATACCACTATGCAAAATTTTATTTAAAATCTGTCTAACAGTTCCTGAGATTAGCGCGTTCAAACCAACAAACAAACAAATTCTTCATCTTATTTAGAATAGATTTGGATTTTTAGATTGAAATAAAATATAGTATAAGCTTGATGTTCTCCTGACCGATTCCGGCCACGGCGGCCAATCTCATTGAAACTAGCCAACTGCGCAGGAGATATTATAGTGCACAAGTGTACGCGCAGACACAAGTGCACTCTCTATTCCTGTCACTCTCATACTCTGGTGGGCGACCATTCGACTCGACAGTGAGAGATAAGGCGCAGGACCGACGGCTTTACGTGATCTCCGAGGCACGGGGGTGAAACACCGCCAACTTCCCTACTCCAGGCTGTTAACTGAGGCTTACTATACAAAAAGACTCAATAACTAAACTTGGCCCGACCCGGGACTCGAACCTAGGACCTCCGGGTATGCAGCCGTACATGCTAGCCACTACACCACAGCGGCAGTTTAGTGTAAACTTATGTTATGTATATACTAATACATACATATATGTACAAAGTACATACTTAAACTTAGTATAGTGGTGATAAAGAGTAAGTTACTATAATATATCGGTTGATGTTATGAAATTATAAACTTGAAGGAAGTGTATACTAACTTTGTAACTGCATAGTAAAATTATTTTCGCATTCATTTATTACTTGTAGTAAGAGACATGGAACTATCGGAAAGTAATTTATCGACTTTCCGTCAGAGTTGCTTAGAAATACATTATACAACATGGTTTATTATAAGACGGGATAAGTTATTTATATTCATATTATTATTTATAATAAAAAAACTTTATTCGATAGAAAATATTATACCAAATCAAACTGGTAGTTCCTGAGATTCGCGAATTAAAAACAAATTCTTCATCTTTATTTAGAATAGATTTGGATTTAATCTATACATATCATAAAATTCTGAGTCGAATCTGTAGATTAAATTATTTTTTGTAAAATCTTATTGAAATAGTCATTATTATCGATATAGAATCCGAATCTGTAGTTTTTAGAATTTTTTATTTCTGTCTGTCTGTCTGGGAACGCATCAAGAGAAAATCTATATGTGTTCGTTTGTTTATGGTGATAATTGACTTTAAATTGAATTTGTTACGTCAGAACTCTCTAATATTTTTACGTTAATTTGTATGAGAGGTCGTGTATAGAATAGTTTAAAATTATGTTATGTTAGCAAATGAACTGTTGATTAATAATTATTGAAACATATTTATGATTTTCATAGGTCGATGACACGTATGGCTCAGTTTGTAGTGACCCTACTTGCTGTGCCAGCGGACGCGGGTTCGAGTCTCGCTGGGACATTCATTTCTGTGATAAGCACGAATGTTTGTACTCATGGGTATTTATATTTATAACTAGCATTGCCCGCGGCTCCGCTCGCGTTCAGATGACCAAAAACCAAATTCTTAGGTTCTACACATTAGTATACTCTTATACTGCAGTTTTTGTATTTTTCTTAAGAAATTAGACATTTTCCCGCGGTAAAAATTTCCTATTTGTTGACCCGGATAACCAGCTATCACCATACCAAATTTCATCAAAATCCCTCCAGTGGTTTTTCTGTGATGCGGTAACAGACAGACAGACAGGCAAAAATTCTAAAAACTATAGATTCGGCCTCTGTATCTATAATAATGTTTATTTCAATAAGATTTCCAAAAAAATATTTAATGTACATGATTCGGCTTAGTTACAATTTTATTACATGTATAGATATAGGTATGTATGTATTTATATGTATATGTGTAGCGTATCAACTATCTCGTATCCATAAAACAGGTCTCGTAGCTCACCATGGAACTATGTAGATGGTGTTGTATTAATGTCCTAGCATATTTATTTATAGGGATTATCTTTACTAATGTCTAAATGGTAATGTTTGTTTGATTGTTCGTCCTTCTTTAACGCAGACACTGGTGCAATTCTTTGTACAGTGATAGTAGGTATATATAATATGTAAAATTTAACACTTACAAATTTCGTCATGTCCGTCTGTCCGTAATTTTCGTGAATTTGTTGTAATATTAAAGAAGACACGTTGAGTTATTGAGATATTGGACACTTTATGCTAAATTAACTTTATTTTTCATAGACATATTATGAAATGCAAACTTATTTATGACATTTATTAAATGAATATTGTACATGAGTTAATATTTTGTTTAACTTTTAATGTAACAAATTAGTATGTTAAAATACAAGATACTTTGAGTGCCAGTCACGCGCGTTTGTTCGATTTTTCTCTTCTAACAATGTTTAAAAGTATCTCAAGAAATTTAAAATAATGTAAGAATTTATAAAGAACTCATAAGATATAGTTAGGTATATTAGGTAGTATATAAAAATACAATAATTTGTATATATTATATAGTTAGAGAAGAGATACCTTCTAAAACAAGCGAAGCAAAATTAATTTGTTACAGTAATGTAAGACTCCTTTAACTCATCTTAGAAGGATAAATCTTGTAATGAAGAAGAAACCAGTCAAGCTTTCAATTTCTAGTGAAAAGCTCATTAAGCTTTAATAGTTTCTTATACATGAATAGTAATGCTATACATCACTAAATGCATTGAAATTGTTTTTGTTTGAATAATAACTAACTAAATCTATACTAATATTATAAAGAGGTAAAGTTTGTGAATTGTGAGTTTGTGAGTTTGTCACGTTCTAGGGGGTAATCTCTGGATCTACGGAATCGATTTAGATGAATTTTGGTAATAAGATATTTTGAACCCTGGGAAGGGCATAGGATAATTTTTCTGGTATAGAGGTGAAAATGGGGTTGAAAGTTCGTACTGGGAATCGAGGGTGAGTCGCTAGCATTATGTATGAACTAGTTGCTATATCGAACTTCGCATCGGTTTGTATTTCCTTTTCTCAGAACCACAAAAATTTATTCCTGATTTTCATAAGACTGCATATTTTATCTTAATATCTTACTAATTATTGTAAACGTGAGAGTTGATATGGATGTTTGGATATTAGATGTTTGTTACTCAATCACGCCAGAACGGCTAAACGGCTCTCGATGAAATTTAGCACAGAGATAGATTTATAGTCTGGAATAGCACAGAGACTACATATTATTCCGGAAAAATGAACAATTTGCTTAGGTTAGATTAGTAATAATACGCAAAAAATCAAGCTTCTCTCTGTTCCATGTAAATAAATATTTTGTGTTTGCGGGGCTCCGTGAGGCTGGGGGTCTTGGGCCGGTGCCCCGTGTGCCCTTATGGTAAAGACGGTACTGAGGTAGATTTGTTTTTGTTTTTCTAGAGGTGAACCCGAGCGAAGCGAAGGTGAGTCGCTAGTTTTACATAGAGAACAAATTATATATCTGAATTGAATGAATATCCAAATATTCATGCTAATATTTGGGACGAATTGATAAGAAAAACCTTTAACTAAAAGAACAAATAAAAAGTATATTTTGAGAGGTAAAAAGGACTTTTCTTATCTTGTAAATAAGTACACAACGCATTTAGCCGAACCTGCATTAGTGCATCAGGTGTACTATAGAGAATGTAAATTAGTCATCCTCTGATAGTGCTCAACTACCTTTCTTTAAGCTGTTGGAACGCTTACCTTATGCGAATACACACTGTCTATAATAAACATATACATATGGTCTGTGATATACGCAATTATCATTTTTTTGCATTTTTTTGTTTTTTTACAAATAAACAAAATAATACATTTTTAGAGATAATTATACAATAAAAACAAACAGAAATTATAAATCGTTCGTAATGAAGTTCAAGGCCGTAACAAATTGTTATGTATGCGCTTGCGCATTCAAATTGTATCACCGATAAGAGGGATTCACTTGTTACGTATCAACGAACTGCGAGAGGTCAAACGTAAGATCACAGGGGAACTCTTTAGACCTGAGATAACAGAAATTAGATCTGGAATGTTGACTGGACTGGAAGAGACTACTAACATACTACATATATAACAATAGTAGTAAATGTAAAGGTATTAAATTTAATCTCTTTACCAGTTTTACTTACTTTAATAAACTAGTTTAGGAACATTTAACAATTAAAAAAATATAAATAAACAAATTGAAATGAATAAAATGCTTAGTTTCAAAGCCATTGCGTCCCTTGCTTTTATGCTAATAACAATAACGTGAGTCATAAATGAAATGACAAATACATACTTAGTTTTATTTAACAATTTAATATAATTATTAAAATTATAAAGAAATGATTTTAATAATAATATATTATAATATTGAGACGATTTGTTATTAAATAATATACATTTATTATGTGGCAAAAGTGCTATCTTTGTAGATGTCACATCCAGTAACAAAGCAATAATCTCCCGGGGGTTTCCTTCACATGTCTCATTAGTATTTAATGCAGATCGTACTTTTAAAATTATCATTCCTTACTTGCATTTACTAATAGTAACACTAACAAGCTATTTTATAACAAAATGGTCGCAAAGATCTTTTTACTAACCGTCCTCCTGGTCGGTGTTAGCTGTCGGTACGTCTCGGTGCCGCATGGACCCGCAGTATTGTTAATTGATAGTGCCAACTTATTGGAAGATGACTTAGAAGATTTATACTCTGATCATGAATTTGAATCTGTAAGGCCAGTTTTCGTAAACTCAAGGGTTCGTCGTCAAATAGGAGTAGCGAATACTAACCCTGATGGGACAGTCAATTTAAGTGCTAAGGTTCCTATCGCTGGTAATGACAAGAACATTTTGAGTGCTATCGGCAGTGCTACTGCGCTAAGACCAGATGGAAAAAGCTATGGTTCTGTGAGTGGTGGACTGGCTTTGGACAATGTGTAAGTGAATATAACAATCTTTTTATTTATTTTATTTTTCTTAAACTCAATAATTTCAACAAGAAATTATGTCCCATAAACATTTTTTGACTGATAGAATAATTATAAAATATACGTTTTCAGGAACGGCCATGGTTTGAGTCTCACAGGCAAACATATCCCAGACTTCGGTGATCAAATGACTGCAGCCGCTAAAGCGAACCTTTTCCACAATGACCGTCACGACCTTACAGCTAATGCCTTCGCTACTAAGACGATGCCCAACAACCCAATGATTCCCGATTTCAAAACGTATGGAGCTGGTGTCGACTACAATTTCAAGTAAGTAAAGAAAAATAATTTTATAGATCTAAGACAACTACTTGTAAATTCTATTGCAATGTAATGAATGCATAATACTGACGCCTTATTATGGCAAAAGACAATCTTGACTCCACACAAAACCGTTCTTTTGTTGCTGATTATAAAGATCTTAGGTTTAGAAATAACAGCAGATAAATTTCCACAATCTGTTAATAATTTTCATACCAAATATCACAGTGCATTTATTGGTATCAACTTTATGTATTTGTACAATATTTTAATGTTTACTTATGTTTTCAGCAATAAGCTCGGAGCTTCCGTAGGGGCAGCTCACACAGATCTGTTCAAACGTACAGACTATTCAGCGATGGGTAACCTGAACTTGTTCAAGACGCCATCCTCCTCCCTTGATTTTAACGCTGGATATTCAAAATCCATTTCACCGTACATACCTAAGAGCAATTGGCAACCAACATTCGGCATGTCTTTTTCGAAGTATTTTTAAATTGACATCATAAAACTAAATTTGACTGCCAAAGATATACGAGTACGATCTGGTTTTTATATTAAAAAGTATTAAGGGTTTTATATACTATTATCTCTATTCTAATGCCATTTTAGTTGTTGTAATTATTGTGTTTAATTAAACAAAATGTTCGGAACGACTTTGTTTTACTTAACATTCCTTTTTATAAAGGTAATTAATGTTGAACGATAAATTTGAACAACAATGAAACGATTCTCCCAGAAATGACGTCAAAAACAAAGGCCTGGATACAATTGTACCAAAACTATTAAAGTTAATGTGTAATAGAGTAAAGTTTGGATAAAGGTTTAAATTTACTTGGTTTCTAATGAACTGTAAAACAATTGCAATAGATACATTTGTGATGGAATAGAAATTTCTTCCTTAAATTGGTTATAGTTAAACCGAAATTCATATATTCGTACTACCTCATCTATTTGCATTTCATAGACTGAATTGAAGATATATAATTGTTTTTTTTTTTATAAACTAAGAAGTATATCGACTTCGCCCTCGCTTCGCGCGGGTTCGTCCCTACAAGATTCTTTAAATTGACATAACTTTTTTATTTATGAAACGATTCAAATAAAATAACTACTGATACTAACACTAAATGTTCAATGAAGCTTATCACAACACATTAGTTAAAACCGCATCCAAATCGGTTAATTCGTTTCTGAGAATAACGAGCACAAAAGCACAGACAAATAGACAAAAATTCTAAAAATTATTATTGTTTTGGGTTCTATTGCGTTCATAAAGACCCCCAATGATAGTTTTTCTTAAATATCTTCCATGTACAGACATCGATCAGTTACAATTTTATTATGTGTATACTTAATAGATATAGATATATAATTTTCTCTTAGAACCACCCTGGAGATATAACATATATCTACATTAAAAATAACATGAAATTCAATATATTTTATATCAATTATATATACAGGTACACATGCACAATTTAAAACAGATACCAATATGCTTATCTTACTTGCTTTAACATCAAAAAAATAAGTTCTAACATTTAACTTTTTTCTCTCAACATTTTGTATTATAGTAAGACTAAATAATATGGACATACATACTTATTGGTTAAAAATGATACAAAAATATATAGGCCTTATATCTCGTCTTTATAAATGATAGGTTTAATGGGCAAGGAGGAATTTTACGACGTTATTTAATGGCTTGGTGTTTCGTGTTTTATGTTAAGCTCTTTTAGGAAGGTCTGTTCTAACATTGTATTTAGGTATAAAATTTGATTTTTATAACTCCAATGGCAGTTAAGAATTTATATCTACTGACTTTTGGCAACGATTCTCAATATACTTGTTATCAGTTACCCAACTTAAGTATCTTTTAACAATGGATTAATGTAACATTTTTATACTAAATAGTATAGAAACTTTATTTGGTACTCATAAAAAAATGTATGTAACTCGACAGCTGAATCCGCGTACCTACATACTTCACACAGTTGTATGAATGAATATTATCGCGAATTCATCTATCATATTATATGTATGGGTACATATAATTAATTATATAATTATACTAGCAGATCTGGCTACGCGTTGCTGTAACTTCGTAATACACACTTATAACCTCGTAACTTAATGTCAATAATTGATTTCTCAGGTTCTCTCTCCCGAATCTCTCTCCGGATATGGAAATCGTTAATTTTCTAATAAAGAAAATAAATAATTGGGATAAAAATTATCCTATATTTGAAGTTCGAATAAATCACACATTTTAATTTCGTTTCGTTTAGGAGTGACACGGGTATTTCATATATATAGCTTATCGATAACTACGTTTTGACTAAAAAGTTGCAAGAACTCTTTAGTTAAAATTGAATATCCTAACTTTAGGCATGGAGGTTTGGGCTTACAATTTATATGGAACCTTTGAGGTAAACCACACTTGGCACAAATATACCTATTAAAAGTCGGTAGAAATATATAAAATGAGACTTGGGATATAAATGAAGAATAATCCAATCCTATTCTAATATAATAGTTTATCTATTTCTGTGGATACTTCATACAAATTACGTGGATGCCTTTGATATCAATTTTTTAGGGTTCCGTACCTCAAAAGGTAAAAAAGGAACCCTTATAAGATCACTCTCTTGTCCGTCTGTCCGTGTGTCTGTCTGTCTGTCTGTGTGTCACCACCGATTTTCTCAGGAACGGGTGGACCTAGTAAGTTGAAATTTATACCAGATACTGAAGTCTATAGTCCCTATTAGGTGTATAAAAATCAAGGCCCTGACTCAACACGGTAAAATGATATGAGCAAATTTAGATTTTCGCGAAATCTTGTAAGTACCGAAATTTACCTTAATTTTCAACTTTTTTATTTTTCGGAATTTTCCCTTTACTAGTGCTGTACCTTACTTTTGACCAAAATTGACAATTCTAGGTCAACCGGAAGTACCCTATAGGTTTTAGGTCCAAAACCTATATGGTAGTTCCCGTTGACCTAGAATCACGAAATTTGGCAAAACGCGAGGTCTTACAACACAAATAAAGGAAAAATTCTAAAAAATAAAAATAGTTGAAAATTAAAGTTAAACAGATTTCTTAAAAATTTGTACGAAACCCTCGGTGGGCGAGTCTGACTCTCACTAGTCCGGATTTTTAATGTGTAATATAAGCGATCAAAAAATAAGTATACCTGACTAAATTTCCATCACGCTTTAAAAGCAAAATTAACATTACATTAGATCTATTATATATTAATATATAGGTACACGTGTATTCAAAATGGTGCGCAAGCTAATAAAATAAATCTTTTAAATTGGTACGACGATAAAATAAACATTATGAAGTATACAAAATAAAGTGTAACGCAAATATGAATTTCCTCACGCACTCAGACAGTATAAACATCTCGAAAAATCCCTAGATGTGAAAAAAATCTCAACGGATTTTATTTTATAGAACGGGCCAAGAGCGAGCAGACAGTGATAGTTAAGTGCTTAATGTATCCGAAGAGGCCGTCGTGCGCCGGGAAATTGAAATTGCTTAACCTGGAGTTCCTCTAGTCAGACTTTTTATATAAATCTTAATTATTTTGTAGCCTGTCTAGTCACTAGTATGTCTGTAATTTTAACTTCGTTTACTTTAAAGCTTGACCACTTAGATTACAATATGCAAAAATAACTGCCCTTTATTACAGTCTTGTAAATATAACCAGTTTATAAATTGATTAAACATAATATCTGTATTAGTACAAGGAGAATTCAACTGAAAACCCAAAAAAATACTATTAATTCCATCCCATTGAGGCTGCTAACAGAAGTGTAATCTCTTTTCCGATCACTCTCATAGTTCAGTGGGACGACAGTTAGATACAGCAAGATAGCATGGATAACGAAACAAGGTTGTCAACTTCCCACTGTCGAGCTGTTATTAAGAATTTTATGACAGAAAAATAACAACTAAACTTAGCCCAACCTGGGACTTGAACCCAGGACGCCCGGATCTGTAACAATACATTCCATCCGCTAAACCAACGAGGCAGTTTGCTTCAGAAGATTAATTCAACGAAACATCAGTCGCTGCAGAGAAACTGTACTTTAATCAAAGTCTACTTTATGAGAGTTATTCAGTTTTAATATTTTGCCTGCGAAATAAGCTCTAATGGCGAGCGTTTATGATAAAGGCTTTCATTAGACTATGTCATGCGTTATAAAGTGTTTCTGTTTATAATATTCAAATTTAAATTTGGTCTATAAAGTCTTTTAATTACTTTTTAATAGATATTTTTATGTAAAATTATATTTAATATTCTGTTCTTAGACACTTTATTTTCTGCGAAGTCCACGTGCCCCATAAAAATCCTATTAAAATTTGTTAGTTTTCCGTTACTGGTCACGCTTAAAATATGAAATTGCCTTATGATAATTTTTTAATTCTAATAAATTAAAAATCCTTAAAATAATAAAATACCGGTTAAGCGTGAGTCGGACTGACACGCTGAGAATGTTCCGTCACACAATATTTTTATCATTATTATTTACCAATTTTAAATTAAAGTACCTGGGCGACCGAGTTTCATTTTTGTTACATCAAATTTTTAGATCAAAAGAAAACTAAAAACTCGAATAAATACAAAAAAAAACATATATATATATATATATATATATATATATATATATATATATATATATATATATATATATATATATATATAATATATATGTTTTTTTTGTATTTATTCGAGTTTTTCGTATAAGCTTTATCCGACCGGGATTCGAACCTGTCTAATTAAGAAAACAGGAGAAAAAACATAAAATAATATATAAAATAAGTATAATTACTCTATTAACAGGCCTTTAAAGGGATTTTGAGGACTAAAGCCATAATATTTTCGATGTAACTAGATGAGATCTAGTATGTATGAAAGATAAACATTACTTTGCAATGCAGCCTCCTACACAGGAACTGCATATTTGAAGAGATAACATCAAAAGCATTCCGGAATTCGTGAATAGTTTGGAATTCAACCAATACGTTTTAATTAATCAATGTTTGAACAAGAGTCAGATTGTTAGACTGGAGCAGTGAGAAACCGAGTAAATGCAAAATGAAATGGACTAACGGATGCTGTGGAGTCGAAACTAACTGCTCTTTTACTCTATGCTAAACGTCACGAATCTAATGCTCGTATGATGCTCAATTTGGGACTAATTAAGGAATAACAGCCATACACCAAACACATTTTCCTAAAATATTCGATAAACATAGAATATATAACATATTCATATGTGCATTACGTTTTCCCTACATGCAAGAGAAACAATTTTCTGTAATTTTTATAGCCCTACAATGGTATTTATACTACAAATCCGTAATTAAAATATCAATTTAGAAAATAATCTCCTAATGTGACTCAAACTGGGAGTTGAATTAGTAATTAAATCTAAAGTTATTGGTAAATACATAACAGAAATCCATTTTGAGGTC